GAAGAAAGTTAACTCTGTCTCAGCTGAAACCAGAACAATTTATCTTGTGCAGTATACAAATGTCAGTTCCTTGTTTGGCAAGACTTTGCACTCCACCCAAGCATGATTTAATTATAGCTCTTTTGAATGTTTTTTTTTTACTGTAACTTTTGAATTGTCTGGTTTATTGTTTTTGTCATTTTGGTCTTTTTACTTTTCTCACAGATTTTATTTATTATCCTTACAATTTTCCCCCCCATCTGTCCACAGTTATCCTTATAGCATACATGCTTGCATCTCAATGTTTTTTCCTTTACATCTTTGCAATAGTCTCTATGGATAAATCGTTTCATTATTGCTAGATTCCTGCTCAGGAATCTTCATTTTTTCTTTATTGGTCTCTGATGCTTTTCTTTCCAGCCTGCATTTTCCTTGCTGCTTCTTTAGGTGTATAGTGATACTGAATCATTCACTCTTTTTCAGATTTATGCCAGAGGATGGAATGTTTTCCTGTTCAGATTTGAATAGTGGGCGTTCTCTGGGTGTAGGCCCAAGATGATGCACATGAAGAAAATTTTATAGGATTTTCTTACTTATATGGACAACGTAGCTAAACTGAAGCATTTGGGGCTTGTAGACACTGTAAGAGAAATGGAGTATTAAGCTGAAATGAAAGGTTGTTCTTATTATTGGTAATAATACTTGCTGTCACCTTTTGGATTTAGCTGTATAAAATCTGAGATTTTTTTCTTTTGGAATGAGAGACATGACAGATGTTAATATTAATGCTTAGTTCATGGATATGGTGTCACTTGCTACCAATAGGGAACTAAGTTTCAGGCTGAGTCCTTTAAAACATCCTTAGATTTTTAAGGTATTATTTCTGGATAACTTTTTTGTGTGATTGTCATCTTCTCATTTGTTGTAACTTGAAATATAATTCTTGTTACTACTGTCACTTCTTTGAAGCTGCTTTCTTTTACTGTTTGCAAGTGCATAGGGGAGTGTTCTGCTTCTCTAATGACTTCAGTGTGATTTCTAGGTGACCAGTCAGACTTCAGTTTATTGTGGCAGTGTTGGTGCTGAGAGGAAAAAAAAATTAAAAGGAAAAGAAAAAAAGGAACAACCACCCACAAAGAAAAACAAGACTGTGACAGTTCTCTTGCAATGAAGCTTAATAATACAAGCTGACTCTGTATATTACATACCACTTAGCCTTGTACCTCTTCTTGACCCTGTGTTGTACCCAATGGAGCTCAGACTTCATTATTATGCTTCTTTTTCTCTTCTGAGTTTATGAAATAATATGAAAATTGTATTTCAGCCCAACAGAGCACTGTTATCATGTCATGAAGGGAAGTTATGTGCTGCAGAGTGTGTAGTGTGAGGCTCTTTAGGGATGCTTAAGAATATGCAGGCTGTTGGAATAATGTTGAAATGGTGTAAAGTGGGAGGAGACAAACCTGGTGCACTCTGGTCATATTGCCTGCTAGGAAGGGTCCCTGGTGCATATTATTAACTCCTACTGTGGTTGGGTGTTATGTGAGAAAGTCCTACTTGGCCCAGACCAACAAAATCCCAGGGAGAGTGCTAAAATTTAGCAATGTGAACAGTTGGTGTTCCAGGGATCATACTAACTCTCCAGCCTCATTTTATTTAACAACCTGCAACAGCAGGAGATAAAACCAGAAATTGTTGGAAAGGAGGTGTGCTAATAATCTGTAGTTGCATTTCAAGGAAGGGAAGCAATTGTAAATTAGATTCTGAACAACCAGAAAGTCAGTGGAGTTATTCATGCATATGGGGGAAATGATGATGAAGCTTTTTTCTAAGTGTAGAAAGGCAGAAGCAGTAGTCATCACCTTATATATAACATCCTTTTATGCAAAATATGTATTCATTTGAAATTCCTTACTAATCACAGATAAGTGAGTTTATTGCTGCTCTTAGGCTGTATGTAGATCTCTGTCTGCCACTGCTTTGGCAGATGACAGGCACACCAGCTGAAGGTCATTTTGTGTTCCATGTGGTCTCCTTCTCTGAACCACTGAAGATTTTGTCTGTGTTCTCCAGCAGTGTTAGGGAAGCTGGGACTGACAGTCTAGCATAAAAAAAAAAAAAAAATGGAGGGAGTGGCAAATTGGCAAGATATTATTAAAAAAGGTAAGTGAAAATTTCTTATGCAACATTACATAGCAGAAAGATAGAACAGCTGCTTACTTTATCCCCTGGGTATACCAATATATTTGCTGAAAAACTAAGAGACATGCAGGCAATCCACCTCTTTCTATTTTGTGTTTCATAAGATTATTTGCTTGTTTTAGGAGTCTTTTAAAACAGATCACTGAGATTGTTCATATACTACATTTAATTAAAAGTAGAAGACCGTACGTGTATCAAAGTAAGCTTATCAAAGACCAGCCTGGTTTCAATTTGTAAAATTAGGATTGGGACTTTTCCTTGTATTTTAGGAAAAAAAAAAAAAAAAAAAAAAAAAAAAAAAAGATTGGCAGAGCCTAGTAAAACCTCCATGTGTGGGCACAACCTGTAATTATGCTCATTCTGCTTTAGGGGAAAGTTTTATTTATACAATAAATGCAATCTGAATTTTCAGTGATATCAAGCTTGGTTTCTTCAATCAGTTTACCCAATTATAACACAGAACACTTTGGTCCCTAGTCTAGTTGCAGAATAATATGGAAATCATTTGTTTCTTAACAATAAGATAATGAAAAATCAGCATTACTGAGAATACAATAGAAAGCTTTTATAAGGTTTCACAAATCTGGGTTAAGCAATATGGAGAAGAGCTGAAGTCTAACAAAGTTTTTATGAAAATGAAAGAAATATTTCTGCATGTCATACACTGTAGGTATGTAGGAATCATTTCTACAACCCTATATCAAAACAAAATACTGATTTACTGTATATCTTTTAACCATCTCTGTGTTGGGGTTATTGAAAACACATTGTGTGTGTGTGTGTGTATGTGTGTGTGCATGGTACCTGGCGACTTTGTAAGGAAAATACTATGTTTTATCATAGGTATTTAATTACGTCTGTGCAAATATTATTTCCACAACATGCTGATCTTACTCTGTGTCAGATATTTTCAGATGAAAGAATTATCTGTTCATCTCCTTCTGGTTTCAATAGGATTCTGTAAATGGAATGAATATAAATGGTGTTATAAGTGGCTGGTGTCATGCCTCTAACATAAAAGTTGGCATAAAACTTGGGATTCAGTTACCAAAAGTATACCTTGACATGAACAAGCAGAAGAGGACTTCAAAGCCTACTGCAAATAAATAAAGAGATAGATAGATCGATAGATAACATATTTTGCACCCACTGCTGAAGAGAAGACCAAAACTTAATGAGTTTATAACAAACTCACCATGCTGGAGGTTTCCAAGAAGATAACTAGGGAGAGTAGAGAAGAAAAGCTAATGAACTTCAGTGCAGTGGGACCTGGTGCTCCGTTCTTGGCTCAGCAGTAAGGCTGTTTCTTCCCACCTCGTATATATTTCTCATGTGAAACCTGTTACCAAATATATTGTGTTATAATGTTATGCTGATGTGGAGCTATACTGTAATTTTTTCTCAGTACTGCTGTTGGGTGATATGAAAATGCAAAATGTTGAGAGAAGTGATTTAAAATGAACATTTTAAAATTTGGCAAAGAGCTTGATAGAAGATATGACATGAAGAATAGTCACCTGGTAAACAGTTTATATACAGTTTAAACAAAAAAGTGTCACAGCCTTCCACATATTATGATAAACTTATTCAATGCTGTAGCTACAGTATTAAGGAAAAATAAGTTTTGTGGTTTGTTTGTAATAGGAAGAGAAACCCACCAGATGTATTTTTTGCACGTATCACCCCTGTGTTGTTTGTTAAAAAACTCCAAACCCACAACCCTGCAGTTTGGAAATTGTGTGACTGTTAATCATGGGCAAGCAGTACAAGAGGGAAGTTCTTTTCTTCTAAGCTCTCTTCTAATTTCTCAGTCCCTATCTCTCTCTCTCCACAACTGCTCATGTCTCTGATTTCTCACTGTCTCCAATTTTGTTTGATATATCTGTGGGCTCTTACTCAGGTGCTAGTACTTTTAAAGAAGTGGCAACAAATTGAAATTAAATTTTATGCATATGAAATCAAGATATAACTACATATCATTATAGCATTTCTTCCCCTGCACTCTCTTTATGCCCCTTAATTTCTTGGACTTAAAGGGGTATGGGTGACAGCTTACTATCCTAATTAGTGCCTATAAATGCTCTTACAATGTGCATGTAATAAGAGTTAGTATTCTCATTGACTGTAATATATGCCAGATGGACCTGTAGGCAACATAATGGAGACATAATCTTACATCACTTTCTCTCCCCTTTCCTTACTTACCTTTAATGTCCACTGGTTTAGAACATCTAGTATCTGCTGTCTTTCCCTTCCCTTCCCTTCCTTTCCCTTTCTTTCTTCCTCTTGACCTGTCCACAACATGAGTCTTTGACCATTGGCCTTTCAGTTGTTTTCTGAAAGTTCACTTGAGCTATAAAACGTATCACAAACGGTAAAGCAAAGCATGAAAGTCTTGTTTTAGCTTTTACTAAAGACCTTTTAACATTCTTCTGAGGTTTGAGAGGATTTTATGTTGTGGATGAATTCCACAACAGATATTCTCAGAATTCCAGGTATTCACATTTACAAGTGTGTTACATGGGATTAGAATACTTGCAAACTGGGCCCAAAATATTTGTCAAAGTTAATTCAAACTCTAAGACAGGTATGTGAGCTTCAATAATCTTATTTATGTAATGCTACTTACTTTTTTCTGGCTCCTCTTTTTCCTCTGTTGGCCACAAATGTTTCCTGTCGAGTTTTAATTCTAGATTATGCATTTTCTAGGACATCCTGGTTTTAAGATGTCCCGTGCTTCTACTTTATGGGAAACAAACAGTCAATAACTTTTTTTTTTTTTGCTTCATTAAAATGATATTCTGTTTTTGATTTTGTAGATAATACAGCCAGTATCCTGACAAGACGAAAGAGATACAGTCGAACCACTCAGGATATCTATTACCTCCCTGTTTTGATTTCTGATGGTGGAGTGCCCCCTCTCAGCAGCAGCAGTACTCTCACAATTAGGGTTTGTGCATGTGAGAGAGATGGACGAGTGAGAACCTGCCATGCTGAAGCTTTCCTCTCCTCGGCTGGCCTGAGCACGGGAGCTTTAATCGCAATCCTGCTCTGTGTTGTCATTCTTCTTGGTAAGCCATTTTCAATGTTACGTAATGCTAGTCTCCCACTGGCTCTCTGAATGTGACAGGGCAGAAATTTTTAATATGATATGTTTTTGAACCAGAGGCTGTCTGGTAGTAGGAGGTAATTAGAAATACATAGCTGTGATTAGGGGGGAAAGGTTTAGCTAAAATTAATAGGGAAAAATGCCTTTAAAGTACACTTGTGAATATCTGGAATGCACTAGAAATAATTTTTCAGAGGTTATCAAGTAATTAGCACTGCAGATCTTTCTTTTATAATTTGGAAAGATTTCAAAAAGCCACTGACTCTATTTCCATGTCTAGAACAGTGTGAAAAGTGATAGAAAAGAGATGAGGAAGGCTTTTTGAAATGCATTACACTGTAAGAAGCACCATTAGCACTGTACAAAAGCTATTTCTTAATTACCTTTGTGGGATACGCTGATAGCAATGCACAACATAATCCACAGGGGCAAGGGACATATGAGACTGTAAAATGACTCCATTAGATAAATGCCCACGCAAGTGCATTTTCCCTTGACTTTTTTCTTTTTGCCCAGACCAATTTGAATGTCACCCATTAGTTAATATTCTTTTTTTTCCTGGCAGAGGCACAATTTGCTGGTACATATCTCTGTATTACTCATGTGCCTTTCTGTGTTCTTATAGAGGTGGCAAGAAATAATGAGAATTGCACTATGACCCACACAGGAGATTTTGAGGATTTTTTTTTCTACAAAGACCCTACATTTTTTAAAGACTACTTTTCTGCTCGGTTACTTCAGAACTGTCTTGTCTGAAAGCTGTTTTAAAGTGCATAGTAGTACATTTAGTTTATAATCTTACATTTTGTCATACAAGATCGAATATTCATAAGAGAAAAAAATAAACCTTTTACATTTTGATTCAATATATATGCAAAATATTGTTTTTAATGAAGCACTGGAATCCTTTAACAATGCTTTTGAAAGATGTCAGCCTTAGGTACTCACTTCTCTTTCAACTGAAAGTATGTTATCCTCTTTTATCTCCTTTATGAGATCCCTGATAATGTAACTAGTGGATTTCATTATTTTCTCAAGAAACCTCAGCAATCCCTACAAAGAAAATATACAGTAGGAGAGTGCTTTTTACTGGCCCTCTGACACAAGACTGCATCAGAAGTTTGTCATTTCGGGACATCATTGTTAATTTTCCCCTTAATTTTGTGGTCTCGGTCCATTGCACTTTGGCATGTTACTGTGTCAAAACACAGATGTCCGGATTTCATGGGTGCTTTCTAGGCATACAGTAATCTGTCTCCAGGTAACACATTGCACAGCAAAGGCATTGCTCACTTAGGAATATAAGTACGCTCTTTTCCAGATTGGACAGGTTTGGTTACCGTGTGTTAGACACGTGCCTGACATAATGAACCCGAATACCAGTATTAGCCTGAAAGTATGACACCTCTGTATTCATGACTTAGTATCTGTTGTTTCTGTAGCATATATCTACTTACTTCAGATTTAAACTTTAAACCTAATCTAATATCTGCAGTTTTCTCTTTAGCAATTGTGGTCCTTTTCATCACCCTAAGACGTAGCAAGAAGGAGCCATTGATCATATCAGAAGAAGATGTCCGGGAAAATGTAGTGACGTATGATGATGAGGGCGGTGGAGAAGAAGACACAGAAGCATTTGACATCACAGCACTGCGAAATCCATCAGCTGCTGAGGAGCTAAAATACAGGAGGGATGTTCGTCCTGAAGTGAAGCCTGTGCTCAGGCATCATCCCTCCTCAAGCCTTGACAGTGTAGATGTTCAGGAGTTCATTAAACAAAGACTGGCAGAGGCTGATCTGGACCCCAGCGTGCCCCCATATGACTCGCTACAGACATATGCCTACGAGGGTCGTAGATCGGAAGCTGGGTCTATCAGCTCTCTGGATTCAGCCACAACACACTCCGACCAGGATTATAATTTCCTTGGAGACTGGGGACCTGAGTTCAAGAAGCTAGCTGAACTATATGGGGAAATAGAATCAGAAAGAACAACTTAGTTGTAATTCCCAGAACAGAGAAGTTCCTAAACTACTGGAGATATAATAACAGCAACGGTAACAAAAAATGAATACAGTGCTTGGAACTGAGCAAGGTGTATGCAGTTACTGTAGAACAAGTGCCCTTTTCATATTTGAAACTGGGTTCTCCAATTGGAAGAAAGTCAAATTTTGAAAAATACAGAAAAAAGAAGCTATTGTCCCTTGTGTATATTTTTTAATTGCTCAATGAAGTCCGTGGTACCGTATCTGTAACAATACCTAACGACAAGCAGTGACATTTTTTTATTGCAATGTGCTTACCATCTGCAAGCTACAGTAAGTTTATGGTTGTGCCTGTTTAGGAAGACACCTAATGGAAGAGCAAATCTCTTGCAGGTGGTTGTGATGTTGCATTTCTTATCTGTGCTCTAGGCCTTGTGATCGCAATGTGAGGTAGCCGATGGGATTTACTACCAGTGTGAGAAGTGCTAACAGTCTATCTGTTTTACAGAAAGGATAAGCCACACCTGTCCTCTTAAATAAACGGTCCTTTGATGATTTAATCTTACTGAATTATCAGGTTTCATTGAGATGATGTAGTTCCATTATGTTCTTCATGATCTTTTCATCGATAACCAGCTAACAGAGGGAGGGTATCATTAGCTGTTAACCCAGACATGTCTCTAGCCCATAACCCCAGACCTGCTCTGTTACTGCGTGCTAGAGGAACTGTTGTTTCCAGTACTGTGCTTTTTCTTTTTGACTTTTCATGGGAACATAGCAACGGTCCAAAATACTCTTTGTGCAGGAAAGCAGATAAAGCATAGGCTCTTTCAGTAAAAACAACAGTGGCAGCACCGTTAAACTATTCAGTTGTTTGGTTCACTGTGCTTCACTTATGTCAAGAGATTAAGCTTTTCAAGACTTTGCTGGTCTGAGTCTAGAAGCTCAATGGTCAGTTTAAAACACAGTGTTCTTAATCATAATGTATCTCTATTTCCATCTGTGACTAAAAGCAAAATAGAGCTGCTGATAAGACATTGGAATAGAGAAAACTGAAACAAAGAGAATAAGATGATGATGCTTTTTGCTTTTTAGTTCAATCTACCAATATTTAATTTGTCTCAGATGAGTTTTCATCTAAGCAGAGCAAGCTTTTCTCTTCCTATTTTAAGCATCATGGGAGGAGGAACATTTTAAGTCAGTGGAGGAAGAAAAAATTAAAATGTACCATTATTGTGGTTCCTAGGGATTAAATAAATTGATTTCTTATGTTAGTAACTTATTAGCATTGCAGACCTGCTTAACATTTCTGCTAAACATTGCAGGCTGCTTAACACCTAATCCAGCAGATTCTTATGTTTTCCTTTGTTTCATTTGAAACTTTAACCTTTTGTTTGTCTGTCTTGTGATAATACTGTGAGAGGACCAAAAGGTCATAATATCTCATGTAAGATTATGACCTGTAAGGCTCACCATCTGTTGCAGTCCTCTGTTTCTAAGAAAATTTGTAGCTCTGCTTAGGGTGGTGGACTTCTTGCAATACACATTTGATGGCGGAACTGTCCAGAGCAGAAGCTGTACACTGTTGTGGTGGTTTGTTGTTTGTTTGTTTTTTTTTCACTCTCTAGGCTGATGTGGAGAGTCATACTGATCTGTACACTCCACTAGATTCCTGCCTATGCATTTTAGGTGCCACTTACCTTCAGCTTAGTAGAGAAGGGTGTACCTTTTGCTTCTCCAAGCAAGGTCTGTATTTATTGTTGTCCTACTGTGGGCCACACAGGTGAACCCCGTTATTAAGCCTTTGGTTCTTTATTGTGTGGTTGGATAGGTCCTAGACATGACTGAAACTTCTGATCAGTTCTTCTTTGAGGATTTTGTTTTTAATGAACTCCTTCCTGAGATGTTGTTGACTGCTTTTGGTTTAAACAGCCTTCTGGGAAAATGAGCAACTAGCTTAATGAAAAACTTTTCAAGCTCTAAAAACTGTATTAGTTGCACTGTAGTTCCAGAATTGTTTTTTACTATGCTGTTTTGTTTGCAACTTGAAAACTGTAATATTTCTCTTTCTGTCAACATCTGAATCCACAAGGAAATTTAGAGGGGAAAAAAAGCTCAAACCCTAAAATGTTCTGCTGATGTTCTGAAAGTAGTTTAATAATCTGTATTCAGATTCTTTTTTTGATTTTACCAAATACAGACTCTTCTAGAAATTCATCTAAGCAGACATTCTCATTGTAGACTAAAGTTAGTCAGATGCTTTCATGCAGTAAGAGTTATGCTCCAGATGAGAATGGTTTCTGTGTTGTCTTTTTTGGAAATTAGGATAAGTTTGAGTTTTGTCTTGAAGAATCTAGTAGTGCAGGATTTTATGTGGATAAATTTTCTTTTGATTTAGATCAAATTTGCTTTATGCCAACGTCTCAATTTTTACATTGTATGAGTAGACTGTAAAGAAGAAAATCTTTTAGCGTTAGTAGTACCGTGGGCCATAATACTTTGTACCACATTTGTGTGAAAACTGCATTCATTGTTGTATTATAGTTTTGAGAGGCAGGTACTAGTTGTCCTTATGTCTGTTCCCTCTGGCCCTACACCGAAGCAGGGAAAATCGATTGTATTTTGTGCTTTAAGCAGTGTTCCCACCATTGTTTTATTTTTATTTGCTTCATAGAACTTTCAGGCTTAAAGCCAGCAGAAGTGCAGTGACATAAGCAAGTAATCACTCCTTACGCTCGTGTTCTGATTAAGTTAATGAAAGGAGGAGGTCATATCCCTTTTCACCGCTCCTGGTGCTCTCTTTGCTGCTGTGCAGCATATGCATCGTACCCACAGCCCCAGGAATTCTGAATCCTTTAAAATTCTGCAGGGTTATTGGGACACTGCTTCAGTGATGTTGCGGTGTGTCCTGTTTGGTATGTCCTATCCACAGTGATCGCCAAATGTGCTTTTCTGTCATGATATGTCTGCATGCTTGGTATGCTTACTGTTTTTTACTCAAATACACATCACAATGCCGTGTTGTTTGCATGACAAATAGCAGAATATTAAATCTTTAGGGCCACAGAAAAAGGCCTCACGGTGCAGAAAGAACAGGTTGACAGATTTCTTTTCCTGATCCCACGAATTTTTTCCTTTGGTCCTTTGTGTCCTAGAAGCAAATTTAAACTATATTTGAGAATGTCTATGTTAACATTGATTAAACTAAAAGAAAATTAACACTGCATGCCATGGAGGGCATGATGCTTTTGTGGCATTGCTGATTTAAACAAAGTATACAGTCAGTGAAAGTACTGTGGGAACCTCCTAGTTTATGGTAAGTCTGATTGTGTAGACTTTGCTTTCACATGGATCTTTTGTCTACTCATATTCTCAAATATTTTCCTATCAGCCTAAGTAGTAATCCAGTTGCTGCTTAACAACTAAACCCTGAAACCTGACAGTTCCAGTTCTTAAACTGGAAGATACTGAGTAAAGTTAAATGGCACATACAAAGTGATGCTTAAGGGCTTTCTGATTTACAATTTTGTTTCTGCAACAGCTATTCAACTACTAGTACATTTACATCAAACGAATTATTCACATTCCTTCAAACAAACCCTCTTTCTTGTAATGGTGAGGGCACTCAGTATGCTGTAAACTTGACAGGTCATCAGAGAAAATGGTCTGTGTAAGTATTTTAAGATGTAAAAATATATTGTCAACCTAAAACCAATCAATAATGTAAGTTAATGCACTTCAAAGATAAAGAAGAGCTTAAGTTCAACTGGCATTATATTAAGATTCATACATTGAAAACAAATTAATTTTATCGGTGTCACCGTTTATTATATACTGTATACTGTAAAAGTTGAAAGTAATTTCACTGTTATGCACTTTATTTTTTGCATTCTTCTTAGAAAACCAAAATAATTTTGAACATTTTTGGTTTTGAATTCTAATTGATGCAGTTGAGTTATGAATACTGCAAGAAAATGTCTATGTGAAAATGTTCTCATGGTGTTTAAAAGGAATTACAACATTTCTGTGGTCTAAGGCTTTGTAAAATCATCCTTTGGAAAATCTAAGTATTGGACCAGTCTGGAGTTAACCAAACGCATAGACTCACACAAAGGGTAACAAAGGAAATGTACTAAATGCAGAGAAGAATATGAAATTATGCTGCCTAATGTTACTTTGTGGATTATAAAGTGCTAAGACCTTGTACTTGCAGTACATATAAATGGCACAGTGCATTCTAAAGAACATTAGGAGTGTGTTGCAAGTATTGGGCCATCCTTATTTTTCCAAAGTCTCCAAAAATATCTATATTTTTTTTAACAAAAGAGTAATGTATAGTATACCTCCTTATGCAAGTGTTACTGATATAAATTGTTACATTTTCTTTTAATAAACAAAAGGGACAGAATCTTTTATTCGTATTTTTCAAATAAAATATACTCTTTGCTATGGTGATGGGTTATTGTATTCCTCATCACAACTAGAATGGGTTATTTTCTCTTCAGTCCTCTATTTTATACTCACCAAAGAAATACAACTGTCCAAAGGCACTCTGTCTTTAAGAATCAGACGTGATACAGCAGTATTAATGAGGTCAATGTCAGAAACGGTGTCGTAACTTTAACTAGATTTTAATGCTCAGTGTAGTCACTCAGCTGTGTCACTATTTCAGGGACTGTCTTACATGATTATTGCTACAGATGGGTAGGGAGGGGAGAGACACCAAGAGATACTTTGCAACAGACTGCAGTATAACCGCTAAATGGTTCATTACTTTTACTTGTGGTGACTATTCCGCTCCAGCCATCACTGGAAACTGAAATATAGCATTATAGGATGAATACATTACCCACATGAGTGAGTTAGGGAAATGCACATCTATGAATCCAGATCAGTGGCAACAGCTTGGGTTATTATCCTAAGTTTACACAGAACAGAGAGAAAAAACAGAATACGTTCACAATGATCAAGCTCAGGCACATGCAATGCAGGTGTGCAGGAATCACTAATTCCTT